TTCTGGGTTTCATTCTTCTCCAATCTTGGCTGCCCTCGTAGATTCCATGAAATGTGCCTGTGACTTTGTAATAAACTCCATTTTGGTTTAAATGGGTTGGAGTGACTTTCTGTTGAATGCAAACAAAGTCAGCCTCCTCCTTCCCCCTCTCCTGTGCCCTGCACTCCTCTCCATAATGTTTGTTCTCCTGATCTTCATTACTATGCCTTGAGACTGTCCTCGTCCTTGTTTGCCTGGCTGCAGATCAAATCTCCCCAGTGATTTAATACTGCAGCTCTGCTTCTCTTTTGAGAATGGAACTCTGGTATTTCATCCCAACTTCACACACTGTAAAGCAAAAACATTCTTTTCCTCATTTCCTTTAAAACCTCCCTCCTGACCAGTCACAGAGGCCTGACATTTGGCATGGCCTCTGGCTTCTGATTCTCCTTAAGGAATTCCATGATCCCTACTTTTCCTCTTAATCTCAACAGCTAAATAGTCACTTTTGTATTTGATTACTGGAAGGTTGTTCTTACTAGCCCCTTGGCTATCTTCTGTCACTTTAAGATGCTTCCAAAAAATGCTACTTCTAAAAAAGATGTTGCCCAGTCTGCATACAGACTCTTACATTCCATTAACATTCACCCAGCAATTAGCTCTTTAAGCTTCTCAAAGGGTGTCTGTGCTTTGATGACACTTATGATTAGAAATGGTGGGCTAATCACTATGAACTTCCCTGGTCAACTACCTTCAATGCCTCCCTGTTTCCCTCAGGATACAGTTCCAGCTCCTTAGTCTGGCAGTCAAAATTTTTTTACATTCTGATCTCTAACAACATTTTTCTTTTTCACCCCTAAGTACCCTAAGGGACTCTGTACTCAAGCCAGCCTAGGTTCCACATCATTCATTCACGTAACACACATTGGTTGTTGTACCAGGCACTGGAGATACTACAGTGAACAAGATGGAGATTGTCTGCTGTTGAACATGCTTTCCCTCCATGCTAGCCTGGAATGTTTTCTCTCTCTGGTCCCATTCCTTTTGCACTAAATTCTACCTATCCTTTAAGAGCCCACTCAAATCCAACTCTTCTAGTATCCCGTCCACCTGAATTGACCTCTCTGTCTTAAACTCTTGTTTACATTTTTATTTGTACCCTGAAGCTACTATCACTTAACATCTGAATTTGAATCTGCACCTGAGACCCCTTAAGAGACAGCATCTTCTGCAGCTTCATTCACCCTTGGGGCCTTGCATGGAATATTAGCTCATTAAATATGTTGGATTTATTGCTGCAGCATAGGCTTGAATTTCTTTAAAACAACCACAAATGAATGTGAATATGCATCTGCCCCTGTGGTTGACTTACCTCTGAACTAGTATTTACCTTGGTTCATGCTCACTCTTAAAATTAGCCAGGTCGCACATGGATGAACCTGGAGGACATTATGCTAAGTGAAGTGAGCCAGTCACAAAAGGACAAATACTGTAGGATTCTACTTATATGAGGTACCTAGTATCATAAATTCATAATAACAGAAAGTAGAATGCTGGTTGCTAGGGGCTGGGTGGAGGAGGAAATGAGGAGTTATTGTATAATGGAAATGAAGTTTCAGTATGGGAAGAGGGAAAAGTTCTGGGGATGTAGGGTGACTGATAGCCACACAACAATGTTGATGTACTAAATGCCATGAAATTGTACATGGTAAAAAGGATTAAAATGGCAATTTTATGTTATGTACATTTTAACAAAAATTTAAATGGAAACCAACCTGGTCCCAAGATGCCCAAGGGCGTGGTCTGTGTCTCCCCTCTTGAACTCCTCCCAGCCTCTCCCATCCCCAGCTCACCTGGAAGAAGGATAAACACTTGTGGAAGTGAAGTGAATGGCATTATTTCCTTGGCATTGAGGAGGAAAATTAGAAGGGGAATCTTTGAATATACTTTAAACACTTCTCACGTTTCACCTTGCTGTCGTCTCTTCTGGATATAAGTGGGAAAAAAGTGTCAATCCACAAAGCCAACAAGAGAAGGCGTTTTCTGGGGTCAGATGAAGAAATCGACAAAATTAGGAAATAATGTTTGTGCCATTTTGGAGGCCCTAGACAGGCTCGGTTCACCTCCAAGTGATTTACCTGTGGCTCTCAATGATTATTTACTTGGCTATTCAGTTCGAGACAATCATGGGAATGTACGGCCCATAAATTAGAATAGCTATGAAACACAGTCTGCCTTTATGTAGAAACATAACTTCTGCGGGTTTTGTATATATATATTTATATATATATATATATATACACACACACACACACACACACACACACACACACACAGGATGAATACATTTAATAAACAGGCTCAGAGTTATCACTCTGTTCTCACTGCCTCTTTTTTTTTTAATATCGGGGTTCATCTCAGATCTCTTGTGTGTCCTAGGTCTTTGCCCTTGTGGTTGACTATGAGCCCACAAGACAAATTTGCCTCCAAGTACTCCCTGATTGAGCAATCCCCAGGGGGAACATGAAGACTTCTCTCACACCTTCACCCCATCCCCAAGCTTTGGCTGCCTCACTGATTTGGGGGGAGGGGGATTTTTCCTAACAGGTACACATGGAGGCAGAGAGAACTAAGGGGACCAGGGGAAAGAATATGGGTCGTGAAGCTGAGCCCACTGGCTCTGAACCCAGGTTCCATCACACTCCAGCACTGACACCAGCAGGTGACCTCATCATACCCATCTGTAAAATGGGGCTAACAATACCCTTGGTTGAGTTATGGTGACGAACAGAGATTATGAACAGCAGCCCAAGGCCTGACATTCAACAAACAGTTGTGAAGATATCGAGATGATAGCTCTTGAGTAGTTTTTTGAGCAGACGCATTTGGGAGAAAGTAGAGAAGCCTAAAATTGAGCAAGCACAATAAATAAGAAGAAGGAGGTGGGGTTGATGGGAGACATTGACAGCTAGTAAGGGAAAAGGAACGTTGGGAATACTAGCCAAGCCAGGAGTAGTCAAGTAAAGTTGGTAGTGCAGTTGCCTGCAGATAACTTTGAGAAGGATCCAAGGGTCCGTCTGAGAGCTGGGCGGGCACTAATTAATAAAGAAGCAAGACTTTTAAAGCTAGGAAGTATGACCTGGGACCAGCTCCTAAGTCTACTGCTTCTAATCCTAATAGGAAGAATACAGCGCACTGACTGTGGAGGTCCAGACCTGCTCTTACTAGCTGTGCCACCTTGAGCCAGTTACTTAACCTCTCTGTACTTTTTAATTCCTTCCCCTGGAAAATGGAGGAAATAATAGTGTCTACCTCACTCACAAGATTGTTATGAGAATTACATAAAATGGTGATGTAGAAAAGTTTTAGAGTAGTTCCTGACACATAGTACACATGAAAAAAAGTATTTGCTGTTTTTAACATGATTTGTTCCTTTCAATATTTATCTATTCAACAAATTTATTCAACAAATATTTATGGGCTAGGCACTGTGCTAGGGACTGTGAAGTGGTTTGCACAGTCCCTAGCTAACGGGACTAAAAGTTTAGCCACCAAGGATCCCTTCTGGTTTCTTGCTAATAGCTCATCCAAAATAAGGTTTTGATGTTCATTCTCAGGACTGTGATATGAACTACAGCCCTCTTTTCTGGCTCCATTTACTTCTTGCCAAATCTGATCCTCCAGACTACAGGTAATTGAGAGTTACTGGGACAATTTATAAAAAGCTGCCGATACCTGTTTGGTTCAGTGGATAGAGCCTCGGCCTGTGGACGGAAAGGCCCCAGGTTCGATTCCGGTCAAGGGCATGTATCTTGGTTGCGAGTACATCTCCAGTAGGGGGTGTGCAGGAGGCAGCTGATTGATGTTTCTCTCTCATCGATGTTTCTAGCTCTCTATCTCTTTCCCTTCCTCTCTGTAAAAAAATCAATAAAATATATTTAAAAAAAAAAAAAAAAAAAGCTTACAGAGGTTTCCGGTCAAGATGGCAGTGTTGGCAAATGTGGTACTTGAATCCTCCACCAACAACATCAAAATTACAAGTTAACTACAGAACAACCATCATTCAGAACTGCCTGAAATCTAACTGAAAGGAAGTTCTACAACCAGGGATTTAAATAAGAAATCACGTCAAGACTGGTAAGAGGGGTGGAGGCATAGAATGGGCTGACCCCACACCCACAGGTAGCAGATAGAAATTTGGAGGGATGTATTAGCTGTGGAGGTACCTCCTAAGGAGCAATGGGTCCCAACCCCTCACCAGGTCCCCCACTCAGGGTTCCAGTGCCAGGAAGTCCTCATAATTTCTGTCTATAAAACTTGCAGGGATCATGGCTGAGGAAGATAGAGGGCTGCTGAAGTTCCAGGCAATTCCTCTTAAAAGGCTGGAGACTTACTCAGACTCACTAACTATTTCTGAGCTCCAGCACTGGGGCAGCAGCTCAAAAGACACCAGGGATATGCATCAAGGAACTGAGTTGTTTAGCATCAGGGTAAGAGCTGGGAAGGAGAGCTTTCTGACACAAAAAAAAAAAAAAAAAAAAAAAAAAAAAGTACTGACAGAAGCCATTGTTTCTTTTCTGAGACCCCCCCCCCTCTCCCCATTGAGAATGTAGGGAAGGGCCATATCTGAATCTCTCCTGAGTACCTTCAAGCCCATCAAAAGAAGTAACATCCATTTGCAAATCACTCAGTAGCTTGTGCCAGGTGGCCTGCATCTCCTGGAAAACCCCAGAGCCAGCATATCTGGTAGACAGCTTTAGACCACATCTAAGCACCACCCAACTATCTCTATAAGTAACACACTCAAAGGGTAGACTCATCAGGCACCAGAGCCCCACTGAAGTAAGTCCTGTTCTATGGGGTGTATCCCTACACAGCTGATCCTACATGGAGGTCATAGCCAGTCCTTGCAGGCTATTGGCCTAGGGATAAATCTCTCCTATCGACATGCCAACAGCAATCAAGGTATAACTACAATAGGAGGATGTACACAGCCCACATGGTGGGGGGCACAACTGTGTTACTATACCCTGCAGAACACCTACTACATAAGGGACCCTACCAAACCCAGAAGACATAGCAGCTCTACCTAATTCATAGAAACAAACGCAGAGAGGCTGCCAAAAATGAGGAGACAAAGAAACATGTCCCAAACGAAAGAATAGAAAAAGAACTAAACAAAATGGAGACCAGCAATCTACTAGATGCAGATTTCAAAACACTGGTTACAAAGAAACTCAATGAACTTAGTGAAAACTTCAATGAAGAGATAGTAAGCATAAAAAAAGAAAAGGAAATCATAATAAAGAAGCAGTCAGAAATGAAGGATACACTAACTGAAAATGAAGAACAATTTATAGGAAATCAATAGTACAGTAGATGAAGCCAAGAATCAAATCAACAATTTGGAATATAAGGAAACAAAACAAACAAACAACCCCCCCCCACACACACAAAACACTCTATTAAGGCAACAAAAGGAAAAGAGAATAAAAAAGTGAAGACAGTACAAGGATCCTCTGGGGCAACTTCAAGCATACCAACATTTGTATCATGGGGGTGCCAGAAGGAGAAGAAAGAGAGCATAAAATTGGAAACCTATTTGAAAATATAATCACAGGCCATTTCCCTAACCTAGTGAAGGAAATAGTCATGCATTTCCAGAGAATCTCAAACAAGATGTACCAAAGAGGCCCACCCAAAGACACATCATAATCAACATTCAAAAGGTTAAAGACTAAGGGAGAATCTTAAAGGCAGCAAGGGAAGTTACCTGCAACAGAAACTTTGCAGGCTAGCAGAGGATGGCAAGAATGTTCAAAGTGATGAAAAGCAAGGACCTATAACCAAGATTACTCTACCCAGAAAAGCTATTATTTCTGATGGAAGAGCTTCCCAAACAAGAAAAAACTGAAGGAGTTCATCACCACCAAACCACTATTACATGGTATGTTAAAAGGTCTTCTTTAAGAAGAAGGAAAAAAATATAAACAATAAAGTGTCTATAAATACAAACATATCAACAACTGAACCTAAAAACAAAATAAACTAACAAGCAGAACAGACACAGATTCACAGATACAGAGAACATTCTGACTGCTACCAGATGGGAGGGGCATTGAGGGAATGGGTGAAAAAGGTGAAGGGATTAAGAAGTACAAATTGGTTGTTACAGAATCATCATGGGGATGTAAAATATAGTAGAAGGAATATAGTCAACAATATTCTAATAACTATGTATGGTATCAGATGACCACTTAGTTATATAATGTCTAATCACTATTGTGTGATCCTGAAACTAATATAATATTGTATGTCAACTGTACTTGAAAAATAAAGGATAATTTAAAAAGAAGCTTAACCAAAAAACAAAGCTTACAGAATTGAGGATGCTCAATCAATGTTGAATAAACAAAAGAAATGTATAATGTGTAAACAGGTTATGTTGGGCTATCAACGTTCCTTTAATTCATTAATATATATGGGAGCGCACTTCCTCTGCTTTGCTCCCTGAGGCGAACTGTTCTCCAGTCAGCAAGGAGGTTGCAGGCTTCACAGTCCCGTCCAAGCTCTGGTGGGGCTTGGGATGCTAGTTTAGGATCCAAACAGAGTTCTTCTTCATGATGGTCTGCGTTTCCTTTGACAGCTGCCCTTTATTCACCTCTTACCATTCATCAGACTTAGTATTAAGTACTTCTTATATTATTTTCCTTCATCCTTAAAACAACGCAGAGAAGTAGCTTCTATTGACCTCTCTTTGTGTCTGAAAAAACTAAACCAGAGAGAAGTGTGTCAATTTGTTCAAGTTCACCCGGTACAGCTGGGATTCTAATTCAGCTGCAGGCTTACACAATCATGCTCCCTTTTAACAAATCTTGCAAACCTTCAATATATTCCTTTCTCTAGAAAACCCGAGGCCATGTCTTCTGCATAAAAACAATGCTGTCTATTTTCAGGAAACTTCAAAGCATACAATGCAGGGTACTGTTTCATACACAGGAATTCTTATCACACTTTGAAAGTGCCTTGTTTATTTACTTGTTGATTCTCAGTGAACTCTAAGCTCTGTCAACTGTTGCACCTCAGCACAATGCTCAGCATAAAATAGATGCTCAATAAATATTTGTTGAATGAGTGATAATCACTAAATTTTTATACTCCTTATAAGATTTATTGCAGGAACGTGCAAAATATGTGCTTGATTCTTATTTGTTGAATGTATACATGTAGTTACGAATGAGTCATCAAATTTGGCAGCCCAATCTTATCATTCTTGCTGATTCACTAAAAGAATAAATAAGTAAACCACACAGACAACAGACAACTAACTAGTCAGGCTCTCTTTTTAAGATAAGAATGAAAAATGAATAAAGGAAAGGAAAAAAGAAGAAAATGAATGAATGAATGAACGAATGAATGAATGAATATAAATGCCTCTGTGGTCATTCTTCAGAATTTTCCTTCAAGTAATGTCCATCTTCAACAGACCTCTGAGCCTGATTGGGGCAATGTTTCTGCAGGTTGCACTCTGAAATTTGGTCTAATCTTTTTCACGTGACTGATTGTGTCTTAGAAACAAATAGCCTTTGAAGATGCCATTGGTGAAGCTGGCATTTAAAAAATCATTCTGCCCCAGCTGGTGTGGCTCAGTGGTTGAGCATGGAGCCATGAGCCAGAAGGTCACGGTTTGGTTCTTGGTCAAGCACATGTAGGCTTGATTCCCCACTAGGGGGCGTGCAGGAGGCAGCCAATCCATGATTCTCTCTCATCATTGATGTTTTTATCTCTCTCTCCCTGTCCCTTCCTCTCTTTAAAATCAATAAAAACATATTTTTAAAATAAAATAAAATAAAAATCATTCTGGTCAGGAGTTTGAAGTTATTTTGGTCTGGCTACTTAAAAGCTGAGTGCTTTCTACGTAGCTGATCTGGGCCTAGGTAAGTCTTGTCAAGATCGAGGGCCTAACCCACCCACCATAAAGATCCCACACACCCATGGAGAGACTC